CTGCAGAACTCTGAAATATTCAAAAGAACACATCTCTGCTGCTAAGCATGGTGTGAGACCCAACATCCTTCTCTGCCTTGGGTGGAGGAGAGTGGTAAATCTGATGATTATTTTCACAAAAGACTCCAGTGAGTACCCAAAGAACTATAAATGAGTAGATGTGCATTCCAGTTTGAAAATTTGTTGAATAAATTTAGCAGAAATATGGAGGAATTCTATGCAAGAGGGTTATCAAGCCCACCAATTGCTCAAAAGTCTTTGCAGTATTCACTGGCAGTACAAATAAGACTGGGCCAAAGAAAACAGTGGCTGTGGATTTCCACCAATATTTCAATGAGGTTTCTCCTCAGATCTCTAGCTACAAGCTTGTAGGTGGGAAGAGAAAGAGCCTTCTGGGGACTAATGACTTGTTAAAGACAGGAATAGATGGCCATTTTTCACATCTGGGTGGGGTAGTTTGTGGAGTGCCAAAGGAACATGTGCCGGGAGAGGGCTCTTCTGCAGAAACATTAGGGGAAAGGACTGATGATTCAAAATCACTAAAGCAGTTAGAAGTAAATCTTTCTGCAAAGAGTTGCAGAATGCTCTCTCCGTGTTGAATGCCTGAAAGATGTAACATCAGATGATATTCAATATCAATAAATGTAAATAACACACAGAGTGGGGAAGAAAAATGACCACTCTATGCATCTCCACAGTCAAGAGCCTAGCATTAGCAATTACCACTCAAGGAAGAGAGAGTGGGGTCAGTTCAGACTTGAGAAATGACAGCCCCATGTCTAGTAGCTGCCAAAGTGACCAGTACAGTTTCGATAACCTTTGCAGAAGAGCACTCAGTTCTCTCAGAGTGGTAGCTCCAACACCACCTAGACAGGGAGCTTTATGGAGAGAAGTGCCACATAAGCAAAATCATCTTGAGATGTTGTTTGTGCTGACACAGAGTTTCTCCTCAATCTCCCTAAAAAAGTTCTGGTTTAATCGTGAGGTAAGTTTTTAGATGAGACTGTATGCATCAGTTTGAGCCCCTTGGTCAACACGTCAGTCTTCCAGCTCTTCCTTCTCACTTTTGGTATCATTCAGTAGAGCACCAGTGCTGATTGTTGGGATCTGGGCATTCAGGGGAAGGACTGTCAGTGGCCAACAGGCTGTATCTGACAAGAAAAAGAAATTAAAGAAAGCTGCAACAGTTTCATCCATTCTTTCATGGGCTTGTAATGACAAGGAATAGGGAGAAAAGCATACCACCAGCAATCCTACACAGGCACTGGCATTTAGGACAGGCTCTGACATCTTCTGTGAGCAAACCCTAGCACTGAGAAACTCACACTGTATGAGGGGATTCTAAAGTGCCTCACACAGCTAAATATCTGGTGGAAATGTGCCCAGACAGATCAGTCTCACTCTTTCAGCTAGAGGAGAACTACCTACAAGCCCTGGGATACATGGCCAGTACAACCTCGCATATGCAGTGCTGGTCTGACACGTGCCCTTCAGGGGAACTGCTCAGGAATTGTCTGTAGGTTAATAAAAAGTCCTAAAAAAAGAGTAGGGAGGAACAAGGGCATCCCATTAAAATGGAAGTCAGGTCAGCCAGGTGGGACATGGCATACATCCCTAGAAAATTACCAACCAGAATGTGCCCGCTAATTCACACCACACTGCGTTAATCTGGGTGAACAATCACCAAACAAGTAAGTAGAAAGCTTTATTCTGAAGCATAGATACCATCTCATCCACTTAGCCTCAGTACACACAGTCATTCAAGTTCAAGGAACCTGTGATCTTTACATGAGTCCATTTCCCAGGTTTCTGTGCTTGGGGATTTTGAAGGGTTCATCCTCCATTCTGACATGAAAGGGAGGGATTTAATCAAATAGGCTTCATCTGCCACTGTCTGGCCATCCTCCCCAGTTGAGGCAGGCCACACAAATTTCTTGATCATTCTGGGAATTTACTAACCTATTTACTTTTTCGGCTGCACATTTTGCAGCCCCTACCCCATCTAAAAAAAAAATATATATATATATGGTGCTTGCCCTTTTTACCGTTTTACTTCCTTTTCTTGTGTATCTTTTGACTCATCACAATACTTTGCTTCCTGCCTTGGAACAATTCTGATTTTTCACCACACTTGTGTGGACCATGCGAAAAATTTTCTGAAAGTCAAAAACTGAATATTTTAATTGGTTCTGTTTCATTCACTGGTTTAGACACACCTCCAGACTACTCTGAAAAATTAGGAGACCACAGTCTCTATCCATCTAACCCACTAGTCATTTTAGTCATCCGTGCAAGAAAAAAAAGTCTTTTGTCTTCATCTAGGTGGGCAATGTATCTCCATGAAAGAGGGAAGACTATGATACTTAAGGGCTCCAGGGGCCCAGATGGTTCCTGCACTATCTACATCCTTGATGTGGGGTCTTTTGACAAGTCATCTTATGTGCACGAGCCTTGGCAGAGACAAGGAGCTGGTGGTGGAGCTGGTGGGAGAAGCCCACCCATCACAGTGCCCTGCAGCAGGGACCAGGCCTGTCCTGCCAGACTCCTTCAAGAATTTGGTATCAGGAGCTCACGTGCTCATCCACATCTGCAAATAGTCCTGAAGGGATAGAGGGACAGATCCAGGATGAGATTAGCACATGAAGCACTGTGCACTTCGGGAAGCTCACCTCTCCTTGCTGGTCCTAAGCCATCTCCACTGATGTCCTTTTAGTGACACAGGGAGATATACCCCAAACAGGATCACACAGTGCAATTTCTCCCTTGCATTCCAGTTCCCTTTCACTGAACTCAAAAGACTGGAGATGGTAACCTGTAGGCAGAGAAGATGAGAAACAAAAGAGACATGAACCTCTGAAGTAGCAGCAAGAGGGGACTGAGGAAGCAGAGCTCATTCTCACAGGAAGATGTAGCACTGGAGTGAAAAAAGGTCCAGGAGACCCTTCCTCTGGGCTGCTGGGTGGCACTTGCTTTTTCATGGCTGATGTGGAACCAGAGACCCATCCATCACATCAGCAGATAGTCCTGAAGGTGTAGAGAGACAAATCCAGGGTGAGATCAGCACAAGGTGCTGTATGACCAGAGCCTCCTCAGGCAGGTCCAGCTAATGCACAATGGAGAAGACATAAGGAACTGTCAGGCTCCAAAGGAGCAGGGATGCCTGAACAGAGCTTTGGCCAGCAGGAGCAGTAAGTCATACAGGAGTTTGCAGTGCAAAAATGTACAAGAAACTGCAGTTTGAAACTGTGGCTGCAGATGAGTCCCTCTCTTGTCCTTGAGATGCTCATGGTGTGGTTCTGCTAAATGGTGGAATTAATTTCAGGACAGCACTATTTATGAGGAGAAATCCATTAGATGGGACATTACAAACCTAGTGGACTAAACAGTAGGAAAAATTACCAGGGAACACCTTGCTGGACACCTTGCTGGACACTGCAGTTGGGCTCTCTTTACTGACTCAGGTCAATGCTTGAAGATGAATTTATTTCAATAAGCTCTTCCCCATCAGACATTAAGGAATATCCACTTCATCAGATGTAGCATCACCAGGAAATCACATGTCTAGCCCATGACAGGTAGAGGGCTCAGCTCAGGACAGCCTCATCACATGGACTACATGAGGGTGAGGGACCCTGGTAGTCCTCAGCTGTAAGTGGGGCACTTCTGGAATCAGAGCTTCTGGGGTACTGGGTTTCTAAGGTCTCTAGTAAATTAGACTACAAGTCTGGAAGCCCTGAAATTCCTATCACCGAGACAAAATATTGAAGAGGACTTCCCAGAAAACACAGGATTAACAAAAAACCTGGGGAAAAACAAACAAAACCAACAAGAAAACAACCAACAAATAAACAAACAACAACAAAAAAAAAAAAAACAACCACCACCAAAAACAACAAAACCCCAAAACAGGTCTGAGAGAGTTTTCAAGTGGGTTTTTATGATCTATCAGGAATTTAGGCAGGTTCCCAGGTTAGACATGTGTCAGGGAATCTGAGGCTTGTCCTTGACTTAGCTTGACTTGTACCACTTATGTTACAAGGTAAAAGATGACATCAGTTCATTTCCTTCCACTTACCTCAAGTGAACCAGACATGGGCTTGGGGAGGGGAAGCCTCAAAAGATCTGTATCTCTTTACTTTGTGTGTTTGCAAAAAGTTTTTCTTCTCTGAGAGAATGTTTGGTATGTGGAGAAGCATCCTCCATTGCAGCTATGTCCTGCACATGTCTGTGTCCAGACTCCTTGGGGTTAGCGTGCTCATCTGTAGCACAGGAATCTTTAAATCAAGATATAGCCTTGCCTCATGTATTTGGCATTATTTCGAGTGTCTGTGTGTAACAGAACAAGAGGATGTGTTCTGAGTGCCTGCAACACATGCTACCTGAGCCCCAGTGTATGTGAGCATCTCAAGTGGATAACCCCACAGATGCAGCCACATACTGACAAAGGTGTGCACCATGCAGCACAGTGCTGGGCACGCCAGTGCTGCAGGAGGGAAGCGCAGATTAAACCCCTGAGCACCCCTGCACCCTCTTTCCTCTTCCTAGCGCAGCCCCAGGCTCTGTGCAGCCCAGGGCACAGGCTGCTCTGTGCGCCAGCACCGGGGCAGGCCAGCCGAGGGGCAGCAGTTACCGCAGTCACATCTCTTTGCCAAGTGACCACATCCTTCGGCTCCCTGACGGGAAGGGCATCCAACATCCCGTCGCCCGGGTCACTTGCCCTGACCCCAGCCCTTCCTTCGTCTTAGGGGCGCACAGACCCCAAAGCTGTCCTGGCCACCCTGGCGCGGGAGCCGGAGGTTGCCGGGCCTGCCGCGCACCATGCTGCAAAGGGTTAAGCCCTTGCTCTGTTGATATTTCCGAGCGGCTCCCAAGTCAGCAGAGACGGGGAGTGCCCTCATTGGCTGTGCACCGCCCGGTAGTAATTAGTATCAGATATCAAACTTCTGTCTTTGCTAAGACCCTTTCCGATAGTCGCTGCTCCCCGTTAGACGATGACATCAGCCAGGACACCCAGCCGCTGGTAGTAAACTCCGGGCGGGAGGAGGCTCCCGTTAGCTCCGTGTTAATTAGTTCAACACCGCCCAGGGGGAGCAGTTGGTGGCTGTGGAGGGTCAGTGCTGGATGGGACCAAATCTTGCAAAGCCACTTACTGCTTCTTGCCAGCCAGCTGTAAAAGCACCCAGAGGGTCCAGGAGAACTGGATGAATCCTGAGCACTAGCCGTGGTCTGATCGGCTTTTCTCTGTGGAAGAAGTTAATGGTTTAAGTGAGGGGCATCTGGATCTGGTCCCCGAGTCACCATGACGCTCCTGGGGTCTGAGCACTCCTTGCTGATTCGGAGCAAGTTCAGATCAGGTAGGGGAAACCTTGAGATTTCTCTTAAAACTTCTCTCTCCGGCAAGCCATAGCCACAGACTGTTTTGCATTAAATGTTTGGAAGCAGCATGCGAGCAAAATATTCAAGGGGTCGTAGAGCTGTCATGGCTTTGCTCTTACAGAGGCTATTTCGTAAGTGGAGAAACACATCTTCCTTCCTCTCTGTTGCTTTTTTTTTTTTCTTTTTTTTTCATTGTCTTCAATTTATGTCTGTGGTTTATTTTGGTAAAACTGAAGTTCCTGGGTCTTCTTCCCGGGCCCTGCTGCAAAGGATTTGGGCAGGAAGCCAAAAGGGCATCTGAGATAAACAAGGTACCTAATGCTGCCTGTATATTCCAGGTGCTCTTGCGGGTCCATCTGTGATAATCACAGTGTGGATGGGCCTGACACTCTCTCTGACATGCAGGCAGCTGACTTTGTTCCATTAAGTTGTGACTAATTGGAGAAAAATGAATTTGAAGAAATGCGTCATTTTTAGAAGTAAAAATAACAAACGGAACATGTAAAGTATTTAAAGTGACATCATCAGAGAAATAAAACCAGAGCCACACAATTGATTGCCACTCTCGGAGGGCTTGCAAGTAAAATGTGCCTCCGTTTCATAAGTTAGGGGAAGCACCGGTAAGGGGCTTCTCAGAGGACATTCAGCGTGAGTGAAGGTGAGTGAAGGTGAACTATGGGACAGTCACTTCTAAATCAGACCTTCTGCTGGATATTCATGCCTTTATTCACTGGCTTTATTTATAGTAAGTATGGCGTGTTTGTGAGTGGGTATCTTTACTTGTAATTTTTTTAATGAGCATAACATACTGTAATATTAATGGTAATGTCAAAAAGTGTTCTCAAGGAGCTTTCTCTGACCTTCCCAGAGGTGAAGTTCTGCCCAGGAATATTATCTGTGATGATGTTCAGACAAACCAGCTGCATGTGCCATACGGGACGCTGTAAAACCGGACGGGGTAGTCACGCTGGAAAATGCATCCAGTCTGGCATGTCACCCACGCCGTGTGTGTGTTTTTGCCTCTTTGTGCATTGTAGATAATGAAATTAGAGATTTATGATATTAATGGTAGACATGAGTGGTGTTATCAGGATCTCTTAGATAGCTGGGTGGTCAACTTAAACTTTGTTTTCTCAGCAAATACAAAGTTGGCAGTTGGTTGAAAATCCAAGAGTGTGTGTGCAAACACAACTGTCCTAGTCTGGCTGAGTGATACAAAACTTGGGTCCAGGGCTCTGGTGTGGTTTCCGTATCACTCTGATCTTACATTTCATTAGATTAAGTCATTCCTTAGATTTTGTTGGTATATTACGGTACATTGCTGTTCATTTGAAAAAAATCTGTCTCTAACAATTCTTCCAGCAACTACAAAGCAACACTGCCACCTTTCTGACGAGAGGAGGATGGGCTGTGTTACATGTCCCTGCATTCTTTTCAAATGAACCAGTACTGTTTTTAAGGCTCATTTCTGGTTTATTTGTAAACTGGCTTTATTATGGAACCAACAGCGGGATCTCTAAACATATTTTTCAAATGATTCTCCAGTAAAAGTAAACTTTGTGGGTCTTTGTGTCCATAAATTCTTGTGTCTTTCAGCATTTCTAGGACCATCAATTTGTCTGGTGTTTTTTGATTCATGACTTATTCCCACAACTACCATTCCTCACTATTTCCTGGTGAAAGATAAGTTTCCCATTTGACAAGATTTCTTTGCCTATTTATTTTGCTTGAGTTGGGCTTGCCAAAATCCCAAATGCATGTCTGTGCCTCGCTCTCCCCACTGCTGAGACTGGTGCAGGTAATGTGGGATGTGGCCACAGCACAACCCTGGTCATCACAGTCTGTGGGACAGGGGAGGAAAACAGGATGTTAAGGAATACAAATAAATCAATAATGCTGCTTTCAGTTTGTGCTAGATTTTTAGTAAAATGGGGAATAGAGAAGAAAATCTAACATTTAATGGTCAAAGTGGTTGAATCTCTTGTATGTGCAAAGTCTCTATGGGTCAGGGTTTCCTCTGGTGTCCCTGCTGTGCAGATCTTGGTAGCTGTAAAGCCCTGCAAGGATGGCAGGAGGTGCAGCGCTCGGACTCACTGTCCTCCGTTCACTTGGAAGAGGGATGAACATCTCAAACAACATATTGCCTTGTACCGCACCCCCCTGCATGGCTCAGGGGCTGTAACACACTACGGGAGAGCAGCAGTTTCCACAGAGAGCATGTAACCTGCACGGAGCATGCGAAGGACAAGCCAGGAGGAATCAGACCCTGACGTGTCGTGCCACAAGGAGCCGCGTTCCATGATGTGCCACTGCTTTGGAAATGGTCTTGCGCAGGCAGGTGTGAGTCTTTGCTTGCTCCCCAGGTTTTGGAAGGATTAGCTGTGCTCTGTGACTCATGACGAGTCTGAATCCCTTTTGAAGGATTCCAGGCCAATGTTAATGAGAGCTGAAGTAAATCTTAAGAACAAAACTTTTGCTGTCTCTCCATGGCCTGCACACACTGAGCCGTTGAAAGAACTGTCTTTGTTAAAGGGTGCTAGAGATAAATTACTTGCTGCTTGTTTCCTCGACCCAGAATCCCTTTAATCTCTATGGCACATAGCAGTCAGAAAGTGGAACAAGGAGGTGGCAACAAGAAGATGGTGGCACATAGGTGTCCCTCCTAGAGTGGCTCGGGGGTCAGCTTTCCAGTCTCTTTCTTCCATCTGGCACCATCAGTAGCAAGAAAAAATAAGAACTCGTCTAGGAAAGGTTGATCTGGTGGAGGCAGTGTCTTTTTCACACAGTGCCCAGCAATCCTCCCTTGAGTCCCACAGTGCTTTCTCCTGCTCTTCTCTCTTCAGCGACCCACAGTGAAGGACCAGCATAGCCATGCATTGCGGAGAGTCGGTAACTGCCTCAGTTCAGGGCACCAAGAACCGCTCTGGAGGAGACAGATCAAATCACCAACATGCTGCAGGCCTTCAGGTTCCCCCTCCGCTTCTTCGTGAATTTGTGTGCATGTTTATCTTGTCTGTTTTGCCAGAGATAAATATACTGATCTGAGGTCATCCTGACAAATTTTGCAGGAATGATGATTCTTCAAGCCTGCCATGCTATCCCATGTGCTCCAGTTATCAATGGGATTGCACTAAATCAACTAGGACATCTAAGGGCTGTTCCAGAAACATATTTAACTCTTCCCAGAGACAATCATTTATGTAAAGTGATCTGCTTTGAATACAAACCAATTGTACTCCAGCAGCAGAGAAGCATTGTCATCGGACAGAGCAAACCAAGCTGGCAAATGCAGACTTAACCTTAACTCTGACCTTTTCTGTCCACTGATATGGAAAGAAAGTTTACAAGGCCAACATCTGCATAACATCAGTGGTAGTTCAGATAATTGGTGAGAAGTGAAAGTTTGACACTCTAAATATGGCTCTGCATGGCTTGGCATGGGGTAATATCCAGGCCTAATTGTGGACACATGGGTGTGATTTTGCAGAGAAGACTTGCCTGGCTTTATGAAGGAAAGGATTCATGCTTACACATAGGACTTGAATGAAGCTGGTTGAGATGGGAGAAGAATTTATTCTATCTATCTCTAGTGGAGAGAGTGATTTGGACCAAAATCAACAGGTTAATAAAGGCAGAAGAGAGTAGGTCTTGCTAGGGTGATAGACAAGGCATTTTGGCAGAACCTTTGTTTTCACTTTCCCAGTGTCCAAAGATACAGCATGTGCATGTGTTTCCTCTCAGATCATGAACTCATACCGTTCACAATCAGTGTGTGCATTCAAACCATGGACTCTGTAATTGATGATACTGTTTCATGATATCATTAAGTTTTTGTAAAACATTGACTTGATGTAGATCACTTGGTTTTGTTATTCCAGCATCTTATACCTTGGTGTTTTAGCTGACAGACATATGTTTCTCTGTCAATCAGGCATGTCTTATAGTACAGATTGAAACGTACCCCACTGTGTTTGAGGAGAAGGATGTATGGGCTGCTCGTGAGGATGGGATGCGCATGAGGGTGACACCATGGAGGGCTGGTGACATCCTGTTCTCAGGACCATGGCAAGGTTGGTGTTGAATATTACGAAGGACACAGACCTCAGAGGGATATCACAGCTGGTTGTTCTTTAGTGGTGACCTGTGCCCATTTGGTGATCTGGGCTCCTTGCTAACTAGGTGTGGTCCTGCGTCTCTTCCAAGGCACCTGCAGGCCCAAATGTGGGTTTAGAGATGTTGTTCTCCCACCAACGTGGATGAGATTTTCAGTGCAGTGCAGCATCCTGGGTAACACACAAATTCATAGCACTTCTGACTAGGAGAAAGTCAAATGCTCTCATGTTTGAAGTGCTGAGCATCACAGGCAGAGGTAAAGCTGGTGGCTGGGCCCCACTCCAAGACAGTGCCTGGCCAGGGCTTTCCACGGCTGTCCTGGCTGAGCGGTCTCATGTCAACTGGGCTGTGGCTTGCTGAGCTTCATCTCTGCTCACACTGGTCCTACACAGGCTGTGTTGTCAGAGGATAACATGAGCTTGGAGATAGGATGCTTCAGAGAAATCACCCTGTGGCACATGACTATCAGCAGAGCAGATGGGCCAAGAGCCATGGAGGGGCTTATGACAGAGCCTGGCCAAGGTGTTTTTGCAAAACAGCAGCTCCAGAAAAACAGGCCCTATGATGTTCTGCTGTACCAATGCTTTACCCTGCTGGTGGTGGCACCTTGGAGGTTGGGTGGCTTGTCACCCAGCTCAGGGTAACTCCGCATTCACCCAAGTACAGCCCCCCACGTCAGGAGCTCGACGTCAGCCTGTTGTTCCGCCAGGATGGAGCACCACTGGTCCCAGCTGCCCTGCCCATTTGGATGTCCTGCTCTGAGTACAGATTCCTGCTCCTGACACAGCTGCAAGAAACAGCCGAGAAGGCCGCAAGCAACACAACTGCACCCTGCCACTGTCAGCCCTGTTCCTGCCCTGCTGGG